ATTAGCTTTCTGACCTTGGGCAAACTATTTACCTGGAGCCAATTTCCTCATTTAGAAATGAGTACAATAATATTCATTTCATAGGGCTTTTCAGAGCATTAAGAGAGAGAATGGAAGGAAAAGGCCAAAGGTGCCTACAACATGACTCATAAATATTCTTTTCTCCCCAGAGGTAAAACTCAGTATTTATTTGGGGCTAGTTCAGGTTCAAAACTAAAAGGTTCCTTTACGAACTATGTGGAGTTTTCAATCTTTGAAAATGTCTGTTACCCAGTCACATGAATGTGACTTAATGATGTGATAAATGACTAAAAGAATGTGATATGATGTGATAAATATAACGTGAATTTTTGAAAGTCATAATCATAAATTTTCCTCATACTTATAACCAATCTGCTGACCCAATGAAATACTTAGTGGGGCAATAAATGGAAATTAGAATTTAAAAATACTGAAGATAATGCTTTATTTCTTAGCTGGATGGTAGGTACACTTGTGTTTATCAATACTGCTTGAACTCCTTATGTTCTTAGGTATATGGTGTTTCACAATAAATTTTTTAAATTGAAGAATCAGCTTCCAATCATTAGTGTTTTCTCCTAAGAACTGAGAGTTGATTCTGACTTCATCAAAGAATGGGCAAACTTTTAAAAATAAAAGGTCTGTTAGTATATTCATTAAAATTAAGCAAACATATATTGTTAACATGATTCCATTATATATAACACATGTATATTACATATTTTGCTTATCTGTACATCCACTGGTGGGCATTTGGGTTGTTTCTAACTTTTGGCTATTTCGAGTAAGAGTGTAAGTTTTTGTTTTAACACCCTTTTTTTCTAATTTTTTTTGGGCAAATACCTAGGAATAGAATTACTGGGTCATATGGTAATTCTCTGTTTACCCCATTAAGGAACCACTAAATTGTTTTCCACAGCAGCTGAATCACTATGGACTTCTAGGAATGTATGAGGGTTCCAACTTTTCCACATCCTCACTAACACTTATTTTCTGTTTGGGGATGTGTGTGGCTTTTTTAAAATGTCTGTCCTAGTGGGTGAGAAGTGGTATCTCATTGTGGTTTTGATTTGCATTTCTCTAATGACTAATGATGTTGAGCATCTTTTTATGTGCTTCTTAGCCATTTGCCTATCTTCTTTGGAGAAATGTCTTTTTAAGTCCTTTGCCCATTTTCTAATTTGGTTGTTCCTTTTTGTTGTTGAGTGGTAAGTGCTCTTTGTATATTGTGGATACTAGACTCATCAGATATATGATTTTCAAATATTTTCTCCCATTCTGTGGGTTGTCTTTCCCCTGTCTTGACAGTATTCTTCAAAGTCCAAAAGCTTCAAATTTTGATGAAGTCCAATTTATCTATTATTTCTTTTGTTGCTTGCTTGTGCTTTTGGTGTTACATCTAGAATCCACTGTCAAATCCAAGGTTGTGAAGATTTAGCTCTGTTTTCTTCTGAGAGTTGTATGGTTTTGCTCTTAAATTTGGCTCTTTGATCCATTTCGAATGCATTATTGTATAAAGTATGAGGTAAGGATCCAACTTCATTCTTTTGCATGTGGATATTCTGTTGTCCCAACATCATTGGTTCAAGAGATTATTCTTTCCCCATCAAATGGTCTTGGCATTCTTGTCAAAAATTAAATGCCCATGAATGTATGGGTTTATTTCTGGACATTCAATTCTATTCCACTGATCTTTATGTCTAGTCTTACACAAGCAGCATGCAGTCTTGACTGCTGCAGCTTTGTAGTTAAGTTTTGAAATCAGAAGTGTGCATCCTCCACCTCTGTTCTTTCTCAAGATTCTTTTGGCTATTAGGATCCCTTGCAATTCCACATGAATTTCAAGATCATTTTTTCCCTTTCTGAAAAAAAGGGCTGTTGGGATTTTGGCAATGATCTGTAGACTGCTTGGGGGAATACTGCCATCTTAACATGAAGTGGAAGATGACTTGACTTAGTTTTAACATCAAAATTATGAGTGGCATTATCAACTTTATTAAGGAAATGCTCTTTTGCAGTTGAGGCCAGTGCATCTGCATGGAATCAAACTCATCTAGCAAAATTAATAGAACTACATCACACAAAAGGCAGCAGTGGTAGACAGAAATACAGCATAACTTAGAATGGCCTCTGTATACTTTGACATGTAAAACTGTTATTTGCCCTGGGGTTTTCAGCAATTTTGGCAGTGTAGGAAATAGGATTATACAACAGTAAATAAAAGCTTTCATGACCAAAAAACTGAGAAGAGAGACAACTCTTCCCTTGTTCAATCTGCTCTCTCCCCAACCTCTGCCAAGATAAATGAGAGGGAGCTGGGCAGGTTTTGGTTTTGTGATTTATAACCAAACCAGACCTGGGAAAAGGGCCTTCCACTTCTTCCACAGAACTGTTTAAAACATTAACTCAGTGGAAGATGCCAAGTTTCCAAAAAGGAAATATGCCAGGAGTGTAAGTAAGTGATAATCATAGCATATTCAACCTCTGCCTGTTTCTCCAGGACCCCAAAATGACTTACTCCTATGGGCTTGGAAAACAGAGCCTCTACTTGGAATAACACTCCTTATTGTGTCTCAGTTTTTCCACACACGTCTGCAACCATTTTCTCTTTCTGATAAACCTTGTAAAGTCTATCAAGTGTAAGGATAATCCTGACCTCATGTTCCTGGGTGGAATGTTGTGGCAGGGAACAAAGATGCAGTATATTCCCACTGAAATAACCTAGACCTAGTAACATTGTTTCTGGCCACTGTCCCTCAGCTTAGTCACACTGGATGACTCCTGCCTAATTCCAGTGGAAGAGTGTGAACCTCAGAGCTTCTGCTGGAGCTAAGTCACAAAAAGGTCCAGGTCAAGGGGGCTCCCATGGTTCACCTTGGGTCAGAGAGAAAACTGCCCAAGAACTTTGTTTCCTGATGTGAGGATTCATGTCTAATTCATAAATTCCAATCACCTCTCATTCAGCTTTTGGCATTTCTTCTATATTTAGCCTGTAACTATTTGCTCAGTAGGTACTGGTTAAATGTAGTGACCATCAGTCTCTAACTTAGAGACAATGAGTATCATCTGTGAAATTTTCAAAAGACACAGGTTGGGAAACCTACCCAAGATTAATTAGCAGGTCTAAGAGTGGTGTCCCAGCATTCCACTTTAAAATATTCCACAGGTAATTCAGGTGAGAATCTAAGGTTTAAGGAACACTCCCTTTCTAAAGTACACTTCAATAACTCATTCTGCTTAAAAGAACAATATGGCCAGAGTTTTCTGGCAGGGGTGGGTAGGGGGAGGGAGAAGGATTTTCTTTCCCAAGCCTCTAAGAGATTTAAATCCTAAACTGGAGAAAAATATGTGCCACCTTCACAACTGTCCTTCACATCATTCCAGTCATGTCCCCAATGCATTAATCTTTTTTTTTTATATTGTATCTTTTGTTTTGACATCTTAAAAAATCTTGCTGGTGGGGAGAGACTACCCTTCCCAGGACTAGTTAATTCCTAAAGATTGTAATCAGTTTGCTTGGGAGTAGCCTCTCATATGCAAACCTTTAATGCAAAACTCCTTTATCCAACTCTCAGAGACCAACTCAATATAGCTCCTGCTTTGAATCATCCCAGGCCGGGTACCAGGCAAACTAGAGATCATCCCTACAGCTTAAAGCTTGCCAGAATTATTCAAACCAGCCAATCCTGAACTGTCTACCCTGCCCTGCCTTGCTTTTCTCAGGGAATAAGGCTCTGACCGAGGCTTTCCCCTCATTCCTGCTTCTGCCTGCTGACCAAAACCTTCCCTGTGTGGCATGGCATGCCCTCTTCTCTCTAGAAATACATTTTTCTTTCAATGGCTCGCTTCTCTGTGTAGTCACCCAGTCACCTCTTATAAATTAAAATTCTGTTACAAATGAGACACTCCACCCCTACCACTCTTGTGTTGTCTACCTAATCCAATTGGAAACCATGTTACAAACTAACTTGGGTTTCCAAAACCAGAAAGCAAATAACACTTCCTAACCCCCTCAGGTACAAAAACTCTTGGAAGTTCTATGAGAATTTTAAACTCATTACTCAGAACTAAATGCAGTATGACCCAGCAATCACACTCTTAGGTATATACCCAAGAGAAGTAAAAAGACACTTGTACACGAATGTTCACAGCACTGTTTATAATAGCCCCAAAGCGGAAAAGGCCCCAATGTACATCAACTGATAAATCAATAAATGAAATGTGGTATATCCATACAAGGGAATATTATCTAGCCATTAAAAGAAATGAATTGATTCATGCTACACGGATGGCCCTTAAAAACAATACATTAAGTAAAAGCCAGACAGAAAGCTACATATGCCATTTATATAAAATATATAGAACAGGCAAAATCCATAGAAACACAAAGTAGACTGGTGCTTGCCAGGTGATGGAGTAAGGGGGAATGGGGAGTACCTGCTAATGGGCATAGAGATTTCTATTTGGGGTTATAAAACGTTCTGGAATTAGATAGTGATGATGGATGCGCCATCTTGTGAATATACTAATTACCACTGAACCGTACACTTCAAAAGAGTAAATTTTATGATACGTAAATTATATCTTAAGAAAAAAAAACCTAAATGGATGGCTTTCCCTCCAAAACTCCTCCTCCTCTGCTCATTACTTCAGTAACTGGGACCACATTCTACTCAGACGCTCAGGCCAGAAACCTACGAATTTTAACAAATAATTAGGTCACAATTCAAACGCCTTAATATTTCTCTTATCTCTCCATTCCAACTCCTAATTCAGGCCACCCTCATTTCTTGCCTACGTTGTGATAACCACCTCCTAACGGGTCAATTTTTACACTACAACTGGAACTTTCTTTAAAAACAAAACCTTCAACAGCTCCCAATGACTCCAGCTTTAAGTTCGAACCCTTAATACGATTCATTCAACCCGTGGCGAACCGCTCTGGCTTCACGTTCCCCTCAAGCCCAGACAAGGCGCACCAGCCCGGCTGGAGAGGGTGGGCATCACCGCGGCCTTGGCAGGCGCTGGGCGTCCCCGACGTCGCTCCAGGCCTCAACCCGCTCGCAACCATCTCCAGAAGGAAGCTCTCCTGCCCGGCCTGGCGGCGTTTTGTGCCTCCGTTTACTCGTCGGCTCCTCACACAGGTGCACTCTGAGGGGGCTCCCAATGAATCCGCACACGTTTCCTGTGTGAACCGTGATGAACACAAACTTCAACTTAGAACTGCGGCGGCGCCCTAAACTCACCCTGACTCTTCCTCAACACTTAATAGACTTTGCCGGGCGCCGCCTAGACCCAAGGCCACATTGCCCTCCAGCACCGCGCTCCACCTTGTCTAGCCCCGGGTCGCCGGGAAACGTTCTCGGCCGCGCGCCCTGGCCGCGGAGGAGGATGGGAAACGAGCCGTGCGAATCGCTCTGCGCCTGCGCAGATGCAATTCGCCGCTGGGGGTGAGAGCGGCGCATGCGCAGGTGCATGGTTCTCCGTTGAGAAGGTGCTGCGGAGGCGCCAGAGGTAGGAGGAGCCGGGCTTTGGGGCCCGAGTCTGCACCCGGGAGAGGCAGTCCGGCCACCTCGGGCCTTTCTCGCTCTCCTGAGGGAGACGAGCCCTTCTAGCCGCAGTTAGAGGCAGGAGCCGCGCTCGGGTGGAGGGGGCCAGGGCTGCCTGAACGGAAGAGGGGTGGGGGATTCGGATACCCACGGGGTGACGGCCTCGGGGTCCGTCTGGCGATCGTAATTTGCTGTCTGTCTTTATAGCTGCCAGAGTCCTTGGCAACCCCTCCCCAGGTGACAACCCGTGTGTCACCGGGTTGGGGAAGCGGGGGTCGCCCCACACCTGCCCATTCATTCTTTCCGCGTCTTCTGTGATCTTGGCGCCGCGGTAGGTACAAATCTGCGTAGGCACAAGTCCCAGCCCTCTGGAAGCTTGCTGTCTTGTGGGATCCATTATTTCTTTCAGCATATACGGGTTGAGCACGTATAGGAAATGGACTGTTTTAGATTAATACCAGCAGAGATGTGGAGACTCATGGCAGTGTGGAGGCTGGAGTTTGCTCTAGCTCCCCACATCCAGCAGTTTGCTTAGCCTGACGTTCCAAGTGTTCGGACAGGAATATCTGCTTCTCCCTGCAGCCTTCTCCCCCACCACTTTCTCTTCGCTCCCGATTGTACCAGACTCTTTGCAGTTAATTAATTCAACAAATAATTGTCGAGCTCTTATTACAAGTCAGGCACTTTGTCAGCCAAAGAGAATACGAAATAAAAAAGGTGAGTGTGTGCACCCCTGAAGTTTTGAGCGTAGTAGGGGATAGATAACAAGTGAATCAAAATATAAGAGCCGATTCCCTGAAACCACACTGTCTGGATTTGGCCCGTCCTGCCACTTGAAAAGCTGTGTGAACTTGAGCTGATTCCCCATTCTTGTGCCTGGCTCCTTGCTGTAAAGAAGGGATGACAATAGATTCTACCCAATAGAGTTTCTGTAAGTATTCAATGAGTTAGACTCGTAAAGCACTTGGGACCACTGCCTGGTATACAGTGAGCATTCAGTAAATCTTATACATGTGGGACTATAACCTGTGATAAATGCCATTGTGAAAACTGTGTGTAATGAAAAAATAATGGAGGAGAGGGTTCACTGAGATAAAAGACAAGGGCAAGCTTCTCTAAGGAGATGGGAGATGAGAATGAGCCAGCCATGCAAAGTAAATTTTAGGTGCTCGTGTCAGCCCAGCTGTGGAAAACTTGATTAATTGAATTACTTGGGCAGAGGAAATTGCATTATGGTATCTGAAATGAACTTTCTGCCACTAGGTTATTTAGTTTTGATTTTTGAACCCCACTAAAATGTGCCAATACAAATAAACATGCCCCTAAGGCCCTAACCTTTACATACGGACAGCATTCTAGTCATGGAAATTAGGAGAGTTGCTGGGGTGAGAGGATGCAGAAAAGTGACCTTTTACTGATTTGGAAAAATTGGTTGTATCAGTGAGGGATGAGCCTCCTGTCTTCCTGTCTTTTGTTTTTTCCTGAGAGTTCAAGTGTACATTTCCCTCCCCACCCCCCATTTCATTGCTTGCTGATAGAGCCTCTGAGAGCTGGAGGCCTTGGACCAGCGTAGGCCTAAGAGATGGTTTTTCTGGATTTGGGGATTATCTTGTTTCTGTGGTGACTGCCCTTCATGGGACTCTTTCCCATATTTCAGTAAAAACTATACTCTTCCAAGATGCACACATTTTTCTGCCTGTGATAGAACTGCTCTGACCTTGGAACTCTCTCCCCTGTTGTGCTGTGGGATAATTAGTCGGCTAACCAAGCTGGAACTCAGTATTTGACAAGGGTGTTGTTACTCCAAAGACCCACATGCTCTTGTACCTCCCTGGAAGAAATGGCATAAAATGACAATATCTGTCTAATTACTCTTAGATGCTTTTGGCTTTCCACAGGTGAAAAATTACAGGAACCAAGTGTGCTTTATCACCGTGGAGATCTTGGAGAATGGCCTGAG